TACATAATATTTAATTTAATTTAATTTATAGTGTAATGCTAACAATAAGTCCAATAGTAATACACAACCCTATAACTGCGGCTATAACTGCGGAGTCCAAAAATAATCTGATAACAGAATAATTTATACATCCAAAATTAAATAACATGAATATAAAGTTTACATTTGTAACTCTGCAGAGAAGATTGCAGAGCTTCAGCCGAATCAGCTGCTTCCTAGTACCTGGAAGGTTTGTTGGGGAGGGGTGAGTTTTGCAACTCAGTGAATAATAATAAATAATACACACCACATACAGTCAAGCAAAATGCACCATAATATACTGAATGAACACACAACAGTCAATCATATGACATTACATCAGCACCCACAAACAATATCACCTTCAAATAATCACATCACGTGGAAATTAGTTTATCAGTGGAGTCACCAGAACCCCCGAATGAGGAGCGTCCTCCCACGACTGGCTCACCTCTCACATGTGCACCAAGGGAGCCGATCCCCCATTCTGGCCGACCGGTCTAAATCCTCACATTGACCAAAACCCTCTCATTGTTTTCCATTCTCTCTTTCTTTTCCATACAACAGGAGGCATACCGATGGTCTCCCACCAATCTAGAATCATCAAGGCGCTCACAACAGGCAGGCCCACCTGCTCGGGCTGCAATCAAATTTAGATTTTTTCAGGTGCGCAACAACAAGCGGTCCATCCCTGTGGTCAGAAATAAACCAGAAAATTATCAAGGTGCACACTGGGGGCGCCCGATACTCCCATTTACCCGCCCTAAACAGAAAACAGAATCAAAGGATCCATAATACAGAATCAGAATATAACAGAAATCAGAATCAGGATCCATATAACAGAAACAGTCTCAAAACCCTGGTGACCCACTTCAAATCCCCAATTCCACAACAAACCAAGGCACAGTATATGCACAGCACAAGTAAAATCAAATAATTCTTTTCAACGTAATTAACACCAAATCCATCCAATTATACAATTAATAGCCATAAATAGGTTTAAAAAAAAAATGCTGATGCCAAATGCATGTTGATCTGCATTAATTATTATTACTCACAGTGATGGAGAGCGAAGTTCTGCCTTTGATTTCTGTCCCTGAGAGGAGACTAGATGGACCCGGGCGAATCTAAGAAATTTAAGAATGACACAAAACAAAAGTAACTATATCAATAAAGTATTTCTTTACCACTCTTAGAATTTTATTTTAAACTCTTAATTTTTCTACGTAATCTAATCTCGATATTAATTCTTTCCTAATAATAAATTTATTTCTTCTACCGGACTCTATTTTTATTTTATTTCTTCTGAAAATCTATTTCCTTCTACCGAAATTTATTTTATTTTTTTATACCGAATTTGTTTTTATTTTTCTACCGAAACTTATTTTATTTCTACCGAAATTTCGGCAGCATCTCCCCCTAAAAGTTGGACTATCCACCTGTTAAAATATACACAATTTATCTAAAAATTTCAAACCACACAGCCCATCCATCGGGCAATCAATCAATCAAATTTTTCCATCCTCCATCAATAACGTTATATCGAAACTTCATTAAATCAACAATAAAATTATAAATCTTGTAACTACTCACAATTACTAAATTAAATTAACTAAATTAATTCACTACAACCAATAAATTTAATTTAATTAACTACTATTACTAACATTAACTTAACTAAATTAATTGACTACTAATAATAAAAATTAGCTAATATTACTAACATTAATTTAACTAAATTAATTAAGTTTAATTTTAATAATTTTAGTTGATTAATCTGATTTTAGTAATTTTAGTGAATTAAATTATTTTAGTAATCTTGATTAATTAATTTAATTTAGCAATTTTTATTAGTTAAATAAATTTAATTTGGCTAGATCTATTGAATAGTTTAATTACTTGATTAATTAAATTAATGTAATTTAGTGTTGATCCATTGATTAATAAAAAATTACTTGATCGATTAAAATTAAATTCGAGTAATAAATAAATTAGGAAATTATGATTTAAGGAATTATAGAAAAATGAACAAAATATTGTTGATGTGGATAAATGTGAATTTCCTTAAGATCGCCCGGATCCACCCTAGTGGCTCCTCCAGGACAAAAATCAAAGCTAGAACTCGGCTCTCCATCATGTGATGTAATATAATAATGCAGATCAACATGCATTTGATAGCATTTTTTTTTTTAGAAACCTTATTTATGGTATAATTGTAATATTTGGATGGATTGGTGTAATACGTTGAAAGAATTGTTTGATTACTTTGCTGTGCAATATAAATTGTTTGATTATTTGTGTTGTGACTATGTTGTGCTTTGTTTGTGTGGAATTGTGATGAAGTGGGTCACCATGGGTTTGTGAGACCGTTACCGTTATATGAATCCTGATTATGATTACTGTTACCGTTATATGGATCCTGATTATCGTTGGCCAGGTAAATGGGAGATTGGCGCCCCCGTTACCGTTATCGTTAACCACAGGATGACCGCTTGTTGTTTCGCATCTGAAAATCTAGATTTGATTGCAGCCCGCAGGGTGGCCTCCTGTTGTGAGCGCTTGATGATCTAGATTGGATGGAGACCACCAGGTTGCCTCTTGTTAGTATGGAAAAGAAAAGAGAGAATGAAAAAATAATGAGAGGGCTGGTCAAGTGAGGATTAGACCGGTCGGCCAGTATGGGGGATCGGCTCCCTGTGTGCTCCCTGGTGGCACATGTGAGAGGATGAGCCATGTTGGGAGGACGGCTCAATCGGGGGTCGCCACTGACTAATTTCTACGTGATATGATTACATGAAGGTGATGATAATTGTGATTGTTGTTGTATTGTCATTTGTGTGACAAACTGCATGATCATAAAACTAATCGGTGACCAGATAAAAATATTTTAGCATCTGTATGATTGTGTGGGATGAGAGGGTTATTTAACCCTACTCACTGAGTCTAGTACTCACCACCCCTCCTACCTCCCCAGGTAATAGATGGAAAGAAGAGTTCTGGAGTCCAATCGAACGAACGAGATACGGGTCGATAGGAGTAATAATCATTGTATTGAATATGTAAATGCAAAGGATAGTGAATTATGGAGTATAATTGAACTTCCGCAGTTATAGGGTTGTATTACTAATTGGACTTATTTGGTTAACACACACTCAAATTAAATATATGTAATTGTGCAGGTGAACCAGTAGCCCATGTGTGAATTATAAATTTAATTGTGAATAGGCCTGGTTAGAATAATTATGTGTTAATTTGAGATTGAGGCTTACTGTTTTGGATGATTAATTGGCAAGATAGGTTAGAAATTGGATAATTTTACGACTTACTACAGGCCTCGGGGGCCTTTTAAGCTTACCTGGGCCCTAGTGCGGTCCGGCCACGGAATAATTGGGCAAGATAGGTAGACAGATTGGATAATTTAGACTTACTACAGGCCTCGGGGGCCTTAAGCTTACCTGGGCCCTAGTGCCGGTCCGGCCCACGGAAACGGGTCGTGACATATAATAAATAAATAAATAATACTAAATGACATTAGATTTAGAGAAAATACTAACAAATATAAAAATAATACTAGATAAAGAAAAGATATAAAAAAATAGTGAATTTTTAATATAGATAAAACCATAATAATAATAATAATAATAATAATAATAATAATAATAATGATAACTTTAAGAGGATAAATCATATAAAAAAAAATAAGTGTAGAATTTGAAAACAAAAAACACAATTATCTAAACCACTATTTATGGTTTCATTGATAGAGATATGCTGTTAACCATGCAAATGTAACAGTATGTTTTTGATATTATTTATTTGTACAATTATTTCTATATATTTAATTGTAGATTTGCATTAATAATAAATTTTTCAGCATACTTTATAATAATGGTGTTAGTACATTTTGTATGTATCTAACTGGACCAAGTAGATAATGATCGTTTTCTATTGACTATTAAAACATATTCTCTAAGATATTAGAAATAAGATTTATATTCTTAATCTTGATTTAATTAATAGGAGCAAATATACATTGCTTTGTACTTTAGTTCATTAAAGAGTGAGTTTCATCTATCAGGACAATAATTCTCATTGAATTGGTAAATGCAATTTGTATTTGTGAAATATTAATTTATGATAGAATTTATGTCTCGGTTTAGAGAATAATTATGCGCTTTAAGGAAGCTTATAAGGTTTTATTGTGTAAACCCTATAAGTAAATTTTTAACCCGACGCATGAAATAAGTTGAGTGACAATCTTAAAGATTAAAATTGTTATTTAAATAAATTGTCAGTAATTTATTTTATTTAACAAGCATCTGTAATCTTGTCTAGTATGGGAATATAAATTATTATGTTATGGAAATTTAAATTAATAAGAATTTCAATTGTGAATTTTTAGTGGACTAATTTATGATTAATTATAATAAGAATATACTTGTTTAGTATGGATTCTTTTTATAATTTGTAGCCTTATTAATTTATTGATGCGGTCCCTACTGTATTTGGACCGTACATAGATTATGTATTTTAAATAATTAATAGATTAATTTTTTAATTAAAAAAGGGATAATCTATTTTATTTAAAATGTAACAGAGTATTTTAATCTTATTGTTTGCTTCCCACGTGGATAAGAGAGGTTATTTGATTTTTTTTAATACGCGTTAGAGATAACAGAGTATTCAGAAAAAATAAAACACATTAGTTTCTTTGGAAAAATAGATCTATTGTGTTTTTCTGCCCACTCAGAGAAAGTACGATTCATAGAACACCGGTTAACGAATTTACGCTACAACGGTTAATCGAATTTACGCTACAACAGGTTAGTTCTTATGTGATTTGTGTCTGATTTGTTTTCGTACTTGTTTCGATCATGGGTTTTTTCCGCTGCTACTTAATTGCCGGCTCCCAAAGATAACTTTTTTTTTTTTTGTTTCAAAAACAGTTTTTTAAAAAGTAAAGAAAAAAAAATTAAAAACAATAAACTCAATCGAAATCAAATGGCACCTTAAAATTTGATTTCTCATCAAGGAAAGTAAGTTTAGCTATGAGGAAATACAATGTCTACATTTCCACCTTCTCCGCTTGAACTGAACTCCTTACATATTGGCTTGAACCCCTAAGGAAGCAGCACAGTGGATGAACTCAGCGGAACACTGGTCACTCAATGAACTACAGGCATGAAGCGCGCCATGAAGAGATATAATATGTAATATTCATTTGAAAAGATTTCTGAACCCATTAAAAATTTTTAATGCTCTCAATTCACCACTTTTTATATCCCTCAATCTTCTCCTCAATACCTGTTGAACCAACCATAAGACGTTATTAAAAAAAAAAAAGATAACCATTATTCAAAAGAAAATCTTTCTACAGCATGTCCATCATATGCAGTGTAAAAGATAGATAAATGCGAACGAGTGACTCATGGTACACCTACAGAATTTCATGAAAGTAGTGATACATAGTAAGGGTGTAATGGTAAAATTACTCTACTTATGACCCAGAGGCTGTGGGTTTTGCGATATGAGAACAGCCTCTCTAAAAAACCAAATGGAAGGTTGAGTATATCAACCCTTACTAGAGCCACAAATGTGGCCGCTTCATGTACTGGGTCAACTTTTCTTCGTGATACATAGTAAAAGCAGTGCTTGGCATTAAAATTCAGAACAGAAATGGATTTAATAGAGACTCAACAACCTAACTAAATACGTATCACAAATAAATTCTTATTCAAAGAAGTACAATCTGACTTTGTTATGCTTTTAGTGAACTTAATCTTGCTAAAAACTCAAAAGTCAAGATGAGTAAGAGCAGCATGATCTTACATTTTGAGCACGAAATAGTATCCTCCGCTCACTGTTACACAAGTCTACTGCTAGCTGTTTCAAGAACACTCTTCTGTTAAGTTGTTTTGGAGATGTTACGTCCAAATCCATTGATCCACTTGCCTATGAGGATAGAATATTCAAGAACCATATTAGACTATCCAACCAAAAAGCTCAAGATAAGGGATAAAGAAAGCAAATATACATTCGTATGCCAGATTCTATTTTACAGCAAATGGCTATGGGATACCAATTCTCAAAGACACCAACATTTACATTTTTCAGCAATCAAGGATAGGGTCTTATTATACCCGACAAAGTACTATTATGGAAAAATGTCTGTAGATTTAAAACTTAGAGTTAGTTGATTCTTCATACACTTCCCTCACCTGCGAGAATTTGTTGTATTTTGATATGCTTGACTCACAACTGTCTAATATGAATTGTAATGCCTGTTCCTCAATTTCAGGGTATCTCACATCCTTTTTGGCAGTTGTCTTATTTGATGCTGCTGAGGCCATCTGGAGTAAAAACTTTTACAAGCAGAACTAGAATAGAAACCAATTTCATTATTTAAAAAATAAGGCCACAAACCTCTTCAAACTGTCTGCTCATACTTGGAGGGCTGACTGCTAAATATGCATATGCCATTAACTCCACTGGCCAACCAGTGATTCGCAAAGGAAAACATTGAGATCTGTAATTGGACAGAATTATATAGTTGAGCTCAACATTTTTCAGCAGATACAAATATATAAAGTAGAAGAAAAATATTTCTCACATGGATTTAAAACTTTCTTCTGACATTTCAACTAAATTGGAAATAAAGTTTTGAGGATCAAACTCAGATAAAATATTCGTCACTTGTATTAATTTGCAGTTAGCAATAAAAAAGCAAATCAAAAGGTTATAAGAGGTAGCAGAAGCAAATTTTGTTGCCTATCAATACTCACATTGACAAACCATGCTTCTGAAGAGCTTCTACCTTCTCCTTGTAACATTTGTCAGACTTTTTCAGAGACAATGACAACTCTACTGAATCATTAGGGTTGGTGCCCTCCCTCGGAACAAATCCATATGATAACAATAGCTCTCCATTAGACTTCTTGCCATATGATATGAAAACCTGCATTGAGTAGCATTCTTATCAGGTGTCTGGAATATTTTAATTCTCCAATAGTGATAGGAACAGTGATGTTGTCACTAACTATGATTATGACTATGATTATGTGGTTATCTAACAGTTCAAGCACGTTTAATGTTGTTGAGGCACAATCAAAATCTATCTATTTATTTTTAATACTTATATTTTCCAGAAGGTATCAAATGTTGGCCCTTAGAACCAACAATTGCTTCAGTTATGTAATTCATACAAGTATGGCGTTATTTTGGCAACATTCCATTGTTGAGAGAAAGCAGGAACGGAGTAGAAGACCACACACATCTATTGGTAATATATTCCGCTTTTCCAGAATTCTTTTTTCAAGCAAACAATTTCCTTGCACAAGAAATTCTTTAACTTCTGTTGATTAAAAAAGAATCAGAACAAATATACTATATTTCTACTTTTGCTTTCCTCCCTATGAATAAGTCATTCTGGAAGTAGTTTAAACAACCTGCGAGTCCAACAACCAGGTTTCTCAGAACTACATGCAGCAACCAATGACATCAATTTTTCAAGGAAAATCTTGGTTACCTGCTCACCTGGCTGGTATTGTCGATCTGTTGTGAAGACAACTCCCTTTGTTGATTTATCATAATCCAAAAAGGTCTCAACCTGGATCAGCCAAATGCAGAATTTACTATTAAAAATTGAATCTTGTAACTAACCAAACCAAATTTCTGAAGGCAAATTTCTACAAAAGGACTAATTAGCATACCTCACAACTATGATTCAGCATGTCTGCCCAAGGAACCAAGGCAACTCTTCCATCCATCGATGGCAATCGAACCTATATAAAAGAGAAAATCAAACACAAACCACAACACAATTTGAGTCTCACACGAAGACTTAAAAACTAGTTTGTTTTAATTACTAAACAGCAATCTCAAATGTAACTGCAGACAGTCCAAAAAATGGTCCCTCTAAGCAGTATACTTCCATTAACATCAATTGTTGTTAGACCTATCATTTGCAGTCTACTAGGGCATGGGATAATTAATCAAAGTGACAAAAAAAAGACCAATGGTTCAGTAATTACGTGCAGAAGAAAGAGGAGGAACAAAGTCAAAAGGCTAGAATTTCATTATTTCACATATTTCTTTTAAGCATAAAGTTAGTGGCGACTTCATATTAATTAACAAACAACAAATTTTTTACATTCAATTTCCATTAGTTGATAAGTCTACAAAGACAATGTTGAAAAGCTTTACTCACCAAGCGAGAGAAGAGAATGCCAAATGACCACTTGAAAGTCTCTATATTGAATATCTGCATTCATATGGAATCCATGGTCAAGCATAGTCATTCTAGAACATGTGTACATATAGCATTGATTCAGACTGTAATGCAGATTACTGAGGCTCTTACATCTCATTGAATGTACAAAGACGAATTAATTATAATAATCAACAACCAAAGCGTTTGAAAGAATATAAATATGGCCAGCATGGTGTTCTAATCCAAATGGCATGTAAATAATTATTTTAAAGTTACCAACGTTTTGTGACAGAAAATAAGGGAGACCAGAATATCGCAAGCAAATATATAACATGTGTTATTGTGAATTCACTGAAGAAGATGGAAGCTTTCCATAATCTAATAGCAGGTCATTCACAGAAAATTCCACTTGATGTTGTGGAATAATGAACCGAAGTACCTCTTCAGGGAACAGGTCGGGATTCTTGGAAAAAATCCTAAGCCTTAAATCATTATATCTGCAAAGGTCAAGGAAACAAAAATTCAAGAATGAATCAAAAGATCATACACTAATTCTGCAAGTGATGTCACTTGAAATGAGAATAGACCAAATCAGGAAAATCAATCTATCCAAACAAATACAGAGTAAAGATATGAAAGAGGACATACGTTCCCACAACATTGGTAATCCTTTCAATTGCCCGCTTTCTGATCTGTGAAGCTTCCAAGTACCTATCTAGTTCTGCACGTGTCCTGAAATGATATAAAGAGGCTGTAGAGGAAGAAACTGAGACTAGACCCTTTCTACATAGAAAGATAACTCTTCAAGAAACTTCAGCATACATCATTTGAACAAGAACTTATCATTTGAACAAGAACTTACCAATACAGAAGTGAATAGGGTTGTCTAGGAAGTGCTGAGATATAATTGCTCCATCTAGAAGATTGGTTAAGACTTGCTTCACTAATCAAGTAAGTGGCGAGGAAAGGCCAATCTGGCACAGAATACTGTTTTAAAACTTCACCCGCCTCTGGGCAGCTCCACTCCTAGAAAGTTCTTGAAAACCGTATCAATAAAGCAAACACATATAACATATACAAACCGCAATATATATATATATATATAAACACATCAAAATCAATCTGAGGACAGAACCTACAGAATCAGCGGTAATAACAAGCGGGGGAGGCACAAAGAGCAACTTCTCGCCCTTCCTAATATTCTTCAACGCAACCAAACCTCTCTCCCCAACTTCCACTTTTTCTATGGCCATTTTCTGTGGAGGTAGACCAGAATCAGACAGCCATTTTTGAAGAGCCGCCGCGTTTTCCAGTGAATCGATGTCGCAGCCCCAAGGCACCTTCTGGGTCGCTGATGTCGCTTCTCTGATGGCGCTGTCACTAGTTGAAACTGAGCAGCGAATTGTTGGGTATTTTTTATGTATAATAGTTGGGGCGTTTGATAATGTGCGAGGTTTGTGGAGTGTAGAGAATGTGGGAAAAAGTGTGGGCTGGAAAACTCTAGAAGCTTTGGCCATGGTTATGCGCAGAGAGAAAGAAAGTGGGGGAGGGAGAGAGAGAGAGAGACAGGGCAAGCGCGAGACCTTATCCTTTGGAGTTTGGAAGGTGAAAGAAAGAGATTCTTGCACTTTCAGTAAGCCGATTTGTCTTTATATTGGATAATACGGGTAAGAATAATTCGGTCGTTTTAACAGTTATTGAAACGGCGCGAGCATGAGACTATCTTAAACGGTGTCATTAAATACACATTTACGATTTACCCGTTTGTCTTGGAGTATAGAAGGATCCTTGGCTGAATGATTCTACTACATTTTAAAAGGGTGACGTTAGTTACTAAGTAGGTAGTGTCAGACTTTCAGTTTTAAAAAGCTCAATACAGTACCCAAAAAAATCTCAAAAAGCTCTCGTTTGCAAAATGTTACCTCTCTGCAGCCCCATCTCCTGCAACTTCTCTTCTCTTCCTTTCGGTAATCCAAGACCCAAAACTCAACTACAAGCCACAGCCGCTCAAAACTCTAATTTCAGAGTCTTACCATTGCTTTCAAAAACAAAAACTTTTAGCACTTCCAATCTTATTAAACCCAACTTTTCTAAAACCAAATTTAACAGAAAGGGTGTTCTTCAAGTATGTTATAGTGTCTTAGACTCGAAAGATTCAGATAAAGACCCAGTTTTGAAGAATGCTAACAATAGGAAAGAGGGAAGAGACTGGACAACCTCAATTTTGCTTTTTATATTATGGGGTGCTCTCATTTACTACGTTTTCAATCTTACTCCTAATCAGACTCCGGTACTTGATTCTTTTTGTTGTTTGCTCGTCTTTTAAGATTAATTTTAATGGGTTTTCTTTTTTATTTTTTAATTTTAAAATGAGTGGTGTTTGCTTTTTCATTTTTGCTTTGCGATTTAGTGAAAGTCGTTGTTTTGCAGTCGACAGATGAGTATTTCTTGAAAAAGCTGCTTAATTTGAAGGGAGATGATGGGTTTAAGATGAATGAAGTACTTGTTTCTTTATGGAACATTATGGGCTTGTGGCCCTTAGTGTACAGTATGCTTCTTCTTCCAACAGGCAGAAGGTGAGTTCCTTATCCTTTCTTGTTCTGTAATTTTGTGAATTTATAATATCCAACACCTGCTTTTCCTCTAATTTCTATTAATTACTGAGTTGGGGTTTCATTTTGAACATTGATGATCTTTTTTCCCTGCAATGTTGTTTCTGAGACTTGCAGAGGACAAATCATAAATCATTTCTGTTGCATTTTTAATTATGAAGATACTTCTCACTTCCTTGAACAAGTGAAATTAATGGATTTTGAGAAGTGCAAATCTTTATATTAGTTTATGTATATAATTTTGGGTTACAAGCATGTGATATGATGATGGCAACAAAATTAATTGTGGCCTGAACGTTGTCTTTATGCCATGCATGCCACAATGGTTGGTCAAGAGGAATTGGAGCCTGCTGAATGAATTTTTATATAATTCTATTTAGGGATTTTAATTAATAAGAAAAATGATAATACCTGTACATGCAGCTCAGAAAGTAAAATTCCAGTTTGGCCATTCCTTGTACTTTCGTGCTTTGGTGGTGCATATGCTCTTCTTCCCTATTTTGTTCTTTGGCGACCGCCGCCACCATCTGTTGAAGAAAGTGAGCTTGGCAGATGGCCTCTTAATTTTCTGGAATCAAAGTTGACTGCTGGGGTAAGTTTTGTTGACTTCTTGTTGATTGATCTAATTTTCTTTTGATTAGATACACGGGAGAGTCAATAGGTTGATGTCTGGAAACTTTATAATACTTCGTAGTACTGATATAATGGTGCATATGTTGCTTACACTATGATCATGCATGTGATTGATTATTTGCTGAACCTCTGTATCTTTGAATTCTCATATTTTCTATATACGTAGCAAATTGTATTTATATTTTATAATGGCTATTTGACGACAACATGACAATGGATGCAGTCATCAAACCTGAAGATGGTTTCTCCTTTTAGTTGGTATAACACAGTCAATCCCTTCATTGTGCTGAACTCCACAGATTGTTCTCTTAAATGAAGAGCATGACTAGAGAGTATAATGATGAATGTGGATTTCAATAAAGCTTTGGAATTGAAACACCAAATGAGTAGTTTTCCAAGTTTCAAGCTTCCCTAGGTAGAGCCTATATGCATGAGAGGGAGTGACAATAGTGACTTACAGTCTCAGCGGAAATGAAACTGTGCTACTTGTCCCCTTCCAGTGAAAAGGAAAAGATTGATTAATGTATTTGTTTTCCATTTTTATTAGATGATTGGATTTGAATCAATTAGGACTGGGGCTGTCTCCTGTGAGATTATGTTTAAATTAGGTGAAAATGGAGGCCTTGTATCTGTTTGTTTGTTTTCTAGTTGAAAAGTAGTTATGATTCACTCAGGAGTTTAAGAAACATTACTTGTATTTTTCTTTAAAAAGGATGAATTAGCTTCTTGTTCTTTTCTATTCCTTAAAGTGATGTTTTCTTAAAGTAATATGAGTGATGTGTATTTGTTTTCTGGCTTGCTTTCTTTATTTTCTATGGAAAGGGCATGACTTAACTCTTTATGCAGCAGATATCACTTGCTGCAGGACTTGGCTTATTCATTTATGCAGGTATAGCAAATGGTGATGTCTGGAAGGAATTCTACCAGTACTTCAGGGAAAGCAAATTTGTAAGTGTTTGTTAAATGTTTTTGTGTTCATTTGTACGTGCACAAGTCATCAACCAAGGGTTAAAAAAGATGCCGAGTTTATGAAACTCAGTCCTTTTGTGAATTTACCATATACCATATGCTAAGTGGTTTTCCTCCTGTAAACATGATATAATACCTACATGGTTCACAATTTTCATTGCAGATTCACATCACATCCCTTGATTTCATTTTACTATCCGCTTTTGCTCCTTTCTGGGTGTACAATGATATGACTGCTAGAAAATGGTGAGATGATGGAGAACAATAATGTCATTCTTCCTTGATCATCTTTTAATTTGAAACCCTATTGAAAAAGAGTATAAATGGAACAGGTACGACAAAGGTTCTTGGCTTCTTCCCATATCACTGGTGCCATTATTGGGTCCTGCGCTGTATTTGGTCCTACGGCCATCACTATCAGAAATGCCTGTTTCACTCGATCCAACATCATCTGAACAGAAGTAATACTTGATTTCTTATTTCTCTACTCACTAGAAGGGAACAAACTTTTGCTACATGAGCAGAGCAAAGATTGAATAGGATTGCAAGCAGTTTGAAACATTTAGCGCTTCGCTATGCTCTCAAAAGTCACATGTTGCCTTGAAGGCATTTCTTGTACAAAGACAAATGATTTGCTAAAAAATATTTTCCAAGTTTTAAAATTTTTTCCAAATGATTTATTTTCCATTGTTTGGTTGTAATATTAAAAATTAGTTAAAAATATTAAAATTTTTATCTCATAAGACTATAAAAAATATTTACAATATCAACAAAAATGAGTGCGGAATACTTAAAAACATTATTTTCCAAGTTTTAGAAAAATTTTTTCCAAAAATGACTTTATTAATAACTCACTTGGTTTGTGTAATATTAAAAATTAGTTAAAAATATTAAAATTTTATATCTCTATTAGCCACACTATAAAAAATATTAATAATAAATATAAATATAATTTAAAATTTTTATTGGTTAAATATGAAGAAGAATGCAAAAAGAAACGGTAACTTATGAAACGCTACCTGAGCTGGCTCATGTCAGGCGTATAATTTATAAAGTTATCAACATATTTCGAAAAAATATTGTACTTTCTTCGATAAAATGAAAAATCCTACTTTTCTATAAAAAAATTACTAAACTGTATCATTTTCCTGATCGCCTATAACAAGGAAAGAAAATATGGAAAAAATATATTCCTGCAATATTCTTCTACAAAATCAAATGCAAACCGTCAGAAACAAACATGAAGCAAATTAAGCATGCAGCTTATGACGTCCCCAATACTAAGCACGACCCCTTATAGCACTTCGAAACGACAGAAACGATATTATTGCCATATTTTTTTACATCTGTTCACTGATGTGAAAAATATTAATAATAATATAAATTTTATAATTTAAAATTTTTATTGTTAAATATGAGAAGAATGCAAAAAGAAACGGTAACTTATGAACGCTACCGCTGGCTCTAGTGGTACACGGTATGATTTATAAAGTTTATCAATATTCGAAAAATATTTTACTTTCTTGAAAAATGAAAAACTATTTTTCTTAAAAAATTACTTCATTTTCCTGAATGCCCTAAACAAGGAAAAAATATGAAAAATATATTTCTGCAAGTTATTTTACAAAATCAAATGAAACCTCAGAAACAAACATGAAGCAATTAAGCATGCAGCTTATGAACTTCCCCCTATTATGCACGCCCCTTTATTAGGCACTCGAAACGAAGATACGATATTTTGCCATTTTTTTACATCTGTTCACTGATGGTGTCATTGATGCTTCAAGTGTTCTCCTCTCATCATCCATTTTGACACCTCTAATTCAAATTTTGCTCCAGAGTAAGAAAATTAGAAGTGACGCAACATTAACTAAGAGAAAAGATAAAGTACTACAATGCAGAAGCCACAATGCCTGTGATAGGGAAGACTATCATACAGCTAATTATTTTACTTGTTGCACATACGCCATACTTATACCAAAAACAATAGGAAGTCCGACCAGACACGACAATCGTGCACAATCCTCAAGCAATATGCTTTTATTACACATACATAATCCTAGTTGGAACCCAAGTATGGTCCTGCAATTTAGGTGAAGCAATTAATCTCCTTTCCCCGTGATGAACTGCAGTGGATGGCAGTGTACTGAAACTCCAGCTAGAAGAATTCATATGAATTCATATTGGTTTTCTGAGAAAACCCTCTTTGTTGCAGTGGATATTTGAAAGTATCAAAAAGTAGAGGAGGAAAGCACATTAAACAAAACATCATTATTTCACTCATAGAGTTTTCGGAGCTCATCTTTAAATTTGGACTTCAGCTGTTCCCTCTTAATCTTTAGAGCAGCTGTAACTAAGCCGGATTCAGGTGTCCATGGATCTGGCAACAGCTTAATCTTCTCCGGAATTTCAAGCTTGTCCAATTTGGCTGCTTTTCCCACCTGCAGACATTGAAAGCTTTCAGATAGTACAGAATCTTTCAAGTCATGCTTGCGCAAAATATTACAAGCTAACATAAAAATCTGCCAAATTTTCATGCCAAACACGGAAAAGGTTCAGAGTATACTCGCACGGATTGACGCGAAAAAATTTAAATAGGTCTACAAATATACGAGATGAAACAAAACTGATGGCCCCACCCATGAATTCAGATCCACTTTTAGAAAATAGATTGTGCCACAGATAAATAATGTACAATTGGTTTTGGAGGCATATAATTTCTGGAACAACACAGATAGCAAGTGTCATCACAAAACCAGAAAGAATCTAACCAATGTAAGAGAACCTATTGGACCGGATTTGTGTTTAAGCATGCAGGTGTATCTGGACAATAATGTTTTCATGTAACCCTTCATAGAGAAACAAAAATTACTAACCTTGGACAATGATTGTTTGACTTCAGTAATAGTTTCATATTTGTCACACAACTCTGAAAAGTTCTGGTGCTTGAGGCCAACTTCCTGGGCCCATTTCTCAAGAGCTTGACGTGATGGAACAACTAGAGCTACACAATAGTTCTGGAAGGGATCTGCATATACCATGATATTATCTACGTAGTTGCTCGACATTAATGCTGCCTCAACCTGCAATTCCCGCATGACCAATATAATGAGTAAATTATAGAATGCTGTTACAAAAAAAAAATTGAACAAAGAACAATTATATAACCTTTCCAAGTGAGACATATTCTCCATGTTGAAGTTTCACAATATCTTTTTTCCTATCAATAATTTCAAGGCATCCATCAGGGTGAAAACGTCCAATATCGCCAGTGTAAAACCAGCGAATGCCCCTTTCATCAACCTGCATCATGTAACAGGAACCAAGTCACCTCTCTCAATATAATGAGAGCAGGCCTCAAATGTTCAACTTTCAATTTATGTCCAAAGTATGCATACATCACAAAAAAGTGAAGCACATTTGCAAGCTCCACGCAGATAAGCATACCTTATAGACCTCATCAGTCTTTTCTCCATTGTTAAAGTAACCAGCAGTTACAGAGAAACCCCCAACTACAATCTCTCCTCGGGGCATTGGCTTGTCAGATGTCCTATACCCACCTTCTTCCCAAGAAACAAGCTGCAAAATGAAAATGAATAAATTCTCAAACTATTTTTCTGAATCGTAAATGTATATAATCCATGTTACAATTACTACCTTGAATTTTCAAAAAGATTTACGGTATAATGTCTTGCACAATTGAAAAACAATACAATGTCCACAAATCCAGCTTTTGCTCGTCATCATTTACTAGAAATATTTGCCCAATATATGCAGAGGCAGATCAAGAAATTTTTCTTTCTAGGGTTAATATTCCGGTGCATCAAACCTCTTAATTTTCTTTTTATTTTACATGTAAAGCGGGTCAATAATAAACAATAACAGCATCAATTGAGTAATTACCCTATATATATAAAGGAAATTTTCAAAAAAAAAAAAAAGAGGGGTCAATTGACCCCCCTTTTGTGTGAATACATCCGCCACTGAGTATATGAGCACATAAGTTGAAATGCTGTGCACAAAGACTCAACTAACAATTGTTATGTATGAAGTCTGGTTTTGATTGTGAAAATAAGAAATACAGCACACCTTAATGTAGCAACAAGGAAGAGGAGGTCCAACGCGGCCCACAGAAGTGTCGTCCCACTCAGAAAAAGCAGCTCCAGCACATGTTTCTGTCAAGCCATAACCCTGACCTATTGGAGCCCTGAGGGTGAACATTGCATACAGAAAATAAAGCAAAATTGTTGATATGAAACAAACCAAACATTGAAGATTACTCAGCAATTCAAATGAGGAAAGCTATTGTCAACAGTAAATGGAACTGAACTTCCTACATTAGAAGGCTAGTAGTTACAAATGAATCATACATACCTTCAGTTAAAACACCAATTTTATCAGCCTGAGGGTAATTATCACAGTTCAATGACATAACCTTTAGTTAGTTTCAACATAAATGACTTAGTAGGTTCTTTATCGTTCCATCTGCTGTGCTATAAAATACAAAAATCCTCTCCTGATTTCCTGATAAAGAATAATGGAACCAAGAGCACAACATAACTTGCTTCCAGGTATCCAGAGCACTAGAATCTATGTCAAGCTCCAATAATTCAATTTGTTCTATAAATCAGATCATCAAACCACATCAATAAGGAGTCATTACCCCATGCATATGTTGATGAAACGTTGTGACTCTCTGGATAAAGGAGCTCCACCGCAAAGCATAAATCTGATATTTCCTCCAAGTACAGCACGTATTGATTTGAAGACAATAACATCCCACATCATTCTTTCCAGTCCCCAAGCACCAAACCAGCTTCCTTCTATGGCTGCCAATCGTCGCTTATAAGCAAGGTTGAAAAGCTTTTTTGCAAGCCCTCCTTTCTCCTCAACCTGGAGTGGACCATAATCATTATTAGTCGAGAAAGGGTATTTACCTGATACACTCAACCTGCAACACCAATTACAATACTGTAAAATTTTATAGATGCTGGATATACAGTTCGCACCTTTTTCAGAACTCCATCTCTAACACGATCTAGTATCGCTGGAACTGCAGCCATGAGAGTGGGCTTTAACACAGTAGCATCACCTTTGGTTCCTTTCTTAATTTTATTAGATGTGTCTGTTAAAGTCAATGCAGAACCATAGCCAATTGCACACCCTGCAGTTAACATTATAGACTAGACAACCACAAAACCGCAATTATATTCTTTCACAAAATGGTGTAGAAAATAAGAATGCCGGTTTGAAGATACCTCAGCAGCCAGTTCAAGAACATGTGCTAGGGGCAAGTATGCCATATAAACATCATTGGTACCCAATTTTGGGATCACTGTCATGACAGCTGCAGCAGTGGCTATAATGTTGCCATGAGTAATCATGACTCCCTGTTAAATTAAACAATACAGAATGTTAGAGCAAAGTAAAGCATGCAATTTTGTTGATGAGTTAGTAACAAGGTTCGATTGCTTGCATAGTGTTTCTCCAAGAATCAGCATGTAGACATATCAATTAAGCCTTCAATTCTCAGCTAATAAACTTACTCGAATACCATCATTTTGTGTAAGTGGATTCAAGCGAAAATTAAATATGTATATATAACCAGAAAGACTTCGTGAAAGAGAACTTTCAATTGATCTTCATTCCAGTAAGGCCAGTTGGCAAGATTTGCTATGCAGGGATTTGGTTTGCTTTCTGTTACAATGTGCAGTAAACAACCAATAAGTAGAATGAAATAAACCTTTGGTAGGCCTGTGCTGCCACTTGTATACATGATAACAGCAACTCCATTTTTGGAAGGCATGCTTGGAGGGAGGGGATTGTCTTTGCCCAGTTTCTCAACTTTAGAAAAAGATGAAACCGTCCAGTGCATCATACTTCCAGATATGCTAGGATCAATTGCAGTTGCACTTTCATCATCTTCAAAGTAAATCACATTATTGATAGTTGTTAGTCTTGAGCTTATTGGAGCCAACTTTTTCAATTGCTTGGAATCACAAATCAGAGTTGATACTTGTGTCTGCCATATCAACATCTGAAATTAGCCTCAATACTAATGTAATATCATAAATTAAGCTTGAGTTATCCCCTACCTCATTGAGTGAGTGAATAAGGGCATCCTCGCCAAGAGAAGCATATATAGTAACAATAGTAATATTCTGCCGCATGCATCCCTAAAATCCAAAAACAACTAATTCAGAATCAGTAGGATAGCCATAATGAATAGGGAGAAACGAGAGGGAGATGCTACCTGGAAGGCAATGAACCATTCAGCCCGAGTTTCAGAAAAAATTGCAGCACGAGTATCCTCATTGTGGCCTAATCCAATAAGCCCGGAAGCGAAGTTGCATGCACGCTCAAAAACTTGTCCATAGGTTTGCCATTCATAATCCCCTAAATGTAGCTTCTCAAACTTCCTACCATCCTTAGCTGGGACAAATTCCTTGCTAATTAACTTCCTTGTTCCAAGAAATCTATGTTTAGAATGCTTTTTGCAAGATTGCTCAAACAGAGCAGCCATGGTATTTGCCCCTTCCCAAGGGACTTCGATCAAGTGACTTGTTCGACCATTGCGAACTGCATAACCCGGCTCACCACCAACTTCAACAGGAACTCCTCTCTGCCTCACTTTTTTCTTCCCCATGAACACAATGGAGAGGAATACAGGTAAAAGAATGGCCACAACAGCAGCACCCAAAATGCCATATGTTCCATAACCTTTTCCTATTGACAAGTAATCACTAGGCCCTAACTTTTCACCAGCCGCTGAGCTTGAAAAACTTCCCTCAGAATCCGCCATTATATATAAATGCTTGTACAACAATCTATAACATTACTTTCCAAAGCATGCCAAATAAGTAACTAAAATTGAAAACAAGAATTGCCTGCAACATAATCCATCTTTCAGCTTGGTGAATTAAAACGAGAGGAATGATTGCAAAGTCATGATGATCTGAAAATATATATTAGCAATAACCATAAGATTGGACTAAGGAGATAAAAAAAAATTAAAGTAAGAAATAAAGTTATAGTCTAAACCATTTGAAAATCAGTTTTGAAGATAAATTGGTTAATTCAAATACTTATTGTATAAAATTTCCATAACAACTATGAACAACACTGTAACCTTATCTCCAGATACCTTAAAAAAGAAATACTATTTGACGCACAAGACAACTTTTACTTAAGTACTCTTATTTTGCTTGCACATACATCAAATTTGCTCTCCAATTTTTACAAAATTTCCCAAATAAACACAAACCGAGTTTGAAAAAAAAAAAAAACTCAGCAAATATCAAGTAAACGATCCTTCCAATACCCATCGTGGAAGTGGTGCAAATATGCAATATATAAAGATAACAGTAACAGTAAGAAAACAAGCGAGAAACAAGCAGAATTTTCATACACCTGATCAAACTAATGAAGTGAAGACATAAACAATTAAAGCATGAAATGAAAAATATGCCTTTACCTTTGGATGCTAAAGCCAAAAAAGCAGTCGACAGAGCATTGAGGGTGCAACTTGGAATGAGGAAGTGGAAGGAAGACGTTCGAGAAAGGCCCATTTGCCTTTCATTACACGCCTATATGTATTCGCATATGTAAGTGCGGTGAGAAACGGTTCGCTTCTCTTTCCTTTTTGGAAAACGGTTCGCACATGTAAGTGCCTTTCATTACCGGTAATTTTCACTTAATAGTAAAAGAATTAGGGACTGTTTGGTTTAGCTCAACTTTGAAGCCAGCTTGTTTGAAATTAATAATATTGTACATATCTTATTTGCAAATCAAATTTTTATTTGGAATAAAAAATGAAAAATTTTAATTTTACAAATTCAATTCTATAAAATTAAATACAGCTACACTAAATTCATAAATTAATTTTTAAACAGATCCATTAAAATTAATCAGTTGATAATAAAATATCCAAATAGTTTTGTTGATAATAAATCCCTTAAAATTAAACAAATTCTATCAAAATATTTATAAAATATCATTGTGGTTATATATTTATTTATGTTAACAAAAAAATAGATAAAATTATTTTATTTTATACAAATAATTAATTATTTTTTATTTTATAAAATTATTACATGAAATTTAAATTTTAAATTTATTTCAAATATAATTAGATAGAATTCAAATGAATCACATGTATATATACCAAACATGAAAAATTTTAAATATATTTTTAAGTAGCATTTATTTATAAATAAATTTTAAATTTTAAATTCATCTACATTTTTTAAAATTAAGAGATTAGTAAAAATTAATTATAAAAAAATTTTTTAAACTCAATTATAAGGTGATTGGATATATTTTAACAAATTATTTGAATTAACTTAATAATATCTCTGATTTTTGTTTTAAATGAATAATATCTGTAGTTGTATTATCTCAAACTTCATAGAGTAAATTAGTAATGCAGTAAAAAGAAACGTTTTTTTAGCAGCTGGCTTTATGTTTTAGACGCCACGTGGCATAAGAAGAGAGCGGTAGGTGACGTTACAAGAGAGCAATTAAGTCACGTGCGTCATGGGTGACATGACATACAGTATGGAAAGGAAATGCTACGGCCTACGTGTGAATGGAAAAGCACGTGAAGGAGGCAAGGCACGCTTCTCGATTAAAATTATCAAATAATCAATGAGGTTGAGAAACTAATTAATGCTGAAACAACGTCGTTTTCGCATGGAGACAGAGTCGAAGGTTCTATCATCATTTGTTAATAAATAGGGTAGGTAGTACTAGTATAGTATGGAGTGTAGATTGCGATAAGCAAGAAGTTTACAAGTGGCAGCCACCGCCATCTCTCTCTGACAGATGAGAGATTGCGGCCACGCACGGCGGAAGAGACGGAGGGCTGAGATTTTTCTTTTCTGTTTGCTTTTTATATAGTCGTCTTATTGGAACAGAAACATACGGACCCTAATTATCCAAATCCTAATCATTAATGATTAATTAGGAGATACTAACAAAAGTACTTAAAAGAGCAACACCCTCTTCCGCAACCGCAGTAACTTTTCGCTCTCTGCGCTACAATATAAATCATTTAGGTTTTTACATGAAAAATAAGAAGAAAATTAATTTTTTCTTTTAAAAAAAGAAGAAAACAATTAATTTTTATAAATTACTCTATCCATCCCATAATTTTTATCATATTTGACTTATGCACAAATTAAGAAAATTTAGTTAATATAATTAAATTATAATTTTTATTTTATTTTTTCTAATATACTCTTATGTTAATCGAAACGTATTTTATAATTATAATGATCTAGATCAAAACTATTTATGATCTGGATTATAAGCGATTTAACAAAGTGAAATGTTAATAATACTCTAGTAAAAGATTGTGTGCTGAAAAATGAGAATTTGAATTCAAAATATATATAATTACTCATATATCCTTTATAAATAAGAAAAAAAAGTCCACATTAAAATGACATTGTAAATTTCATATGATCATATGACATTAAATGCAGTGGGGAAATTCTAAATGTCATCATAGCATAATAACATGGTAAAACATAGTCATGTGTAAGGCATGCAAATATTACCATTTAATTTAATGAACCATAACCAGTTGAAATCAAATCCGGATTGAAATCAACGGTTCAATGATTGATTTAGGTTCAATATTTTAAAATTTCATTTAGCTTCAATATTTTAAAATTTTCAAACTAGTTCAGTGAACTGAAACTAGTGGTTCAATGATTGTTCCAGGTTGCAGTACAGCCTTCATTTGATACTAAATTTGTTATATTATATTTTAGAAATTAGAGATATAATTCAATTTTTATCAACACCATATCAATTTTAATATTTGCAATTTAATCACAATTCCAATGGAACTTACAATTTAAAAAAAAATTGAGATCCAAAATTCAATTCTCTCCATCTAAACTAAGGAGTACATAGAAACATGGGAGACCAGTTTAAAGCATGCCACATCCCATAATGTCTCATTCCGACGAAGGCTCGTTAATAATTAAGAAATACAAACCAAAAACAAGGGGGGGGAACTGAAAGGAGTACAGGAGAACACAGCTGCGGAATCCCAGTGATGTTATAAACATGCGCCCAGTCGCCAGTAATGTTCTCATTCCGACGAAGGCCTCGTTAATAATAAGGAAATAACAAACCAAAAAACAAGGGGGCCGCGGGGGGGGGTGGGCGGACTCCCATTCCTAGGGTAGATATACTCAACAGAAAAGCTTACAGCGGGGGGGGACTCATTCCTGTTAAGTATGAACAGAAAAACTACAGCTCCTCAGGTGCTAGGAAACATAAACTAGAAACAAGTAAAAGACCTAAAAAAAGAAATTTGCATGAAGTAAATCCATCCTTTCTATAGCCAAAATCAGCGCTTTTAAAATTGAACCTGGCGGTTATTGAATGTGATCACGCACATATACAACTGGAGATTAGATAAATTACCCAGAAATACATTTTGATGGCATTTAATCAGATATCATTTTTATTCTTTCACCCTGGAGCACAAACCATTACTATCATGTACATTAGATACCAAAATAGCCAAGGCTCTTAACTAGTGAATGATGCCCAGACTTCTTTTTTTCTCAATTGCTTGCGGTCATGAATTGCTTTTGACACTTTCTTCAACACGTGTAACTGCATCTGTGAGCACATCAATCGTCCAATCCTTCAAATCTTGCTGCCGATAATTGAAAAGGCATTAAAAAAAGGTTGGACATCTGTATAAGGAAATCTTAACAAGTGAACAGCATTCTTTTTTATTTTTCTGCTGAACAAAACAAAATGAAAGCTTAGCATGTATAAAAGATAGAAGCCACGCATATATATCTAAAAGAACACATGAAAAAGTTGCCAGTGGCAAAGATCGCGCCTATCAACAAAACCATTGCAACTTAAAATGATATCAATATAACAACTGTGAACTAAGTAAACTAAAATTCCAAATTTACAAGGGTATGGGTACTGCTAGGTAAGCTTAATCGCTGAGATGTGCTAGGAGAGCATTGCCCAGGAAAAAAATAATGATACAATAGAAACAAAGAGAGTGAAAAAAAAAATTTCACAAAACTTTATGCCCCAACATTCAGGTTCCTCATAGAACTCGTGGATTCAGTAGGGCATGTCAAACTTTTATTTATTTACATGGTAAATACATCATAGGAAATAAACTGGTTCTAGACTTCTAGTCAGAGGATGAGAGCAACATGTCTTAGTTTAGGAAATTGGTATAAATATGCATTCTCCTACTCATATAAGTTGAGCCTTTGACATCAGGATAAAGGGAGTATAGCTCTTCATAGTATCTTACACAAAATATTTTTAAGTTGCGGTTCATATTAGTGTTAGAGAAGAAGTTAACCATCACTAAAGTACCTTGAAAGGGAAGGGGCCATGCAACATGGGCCCAGAAGGTACTAAGAGGGCTGGGGGTGCAGCACCCTTGCTGTATGGTGCAGTTGGCGTTTTCCATCATTGGAGGGTGATTATATAATTTCTATTCATATTTGGTTTTGTTCTGGTGTTTACAAATAGGGCTACAATACTCACTTTATTATATACTGAAAAAAAAAAAAAAAAAAAAAAAAAAAAAAAAAAAAAAAAAAAAAAAAAAAAAAAAAAAAAAAAAAAAAAACAGACTGGAAAAAAAAAAAAAAAAAAAAAAAAAAAAAAAAAAAAAAAAAAACAGACTGACTTGCCGAACCACGTATAATACTTGGATTTTCTTTTTCTTTTCTAATCTCTGTAACTCTGTGTGTTTATTGGTTATTTCTACTAATAAAAAAAAAATTCTAAGATCAGGAATGGAGGTTGTGAACATTAAAGTTGAAGATAAATCAAATTTAGATCAGCTAATTAGGAGGAGAAAAAGAAATAAAAGAATGAAGTATGCAAACATGCACCCCAATCTTTACCATTATTCCTCAAATGGCAGCCAGCATTATAGTGCTTGTTCACCAATGAATCAATAACTTATATGCCACAGAAAACAGGCATACTTGAATTTCCACACAAATATGAAAAAAAGGAAGAAGTGCTTACAGGTTTTATAATGCCTCAGTCAGGCTATGAGAGAAGAAATTTCAAGTTAAATGAAGTAATAAAAAGGAGTAGTGGCCTCACCAAGTGCAATGACTCTCCAGTTCTTATTCTTGCATTTGGACGAGCAAGTTTGGATTCAAAAGGAGTCCTCGGCCTAACCTCTCGAATTTCCTCCCACTCTTCACGAGTAAGCATCCGTACTGTGCCTTGACCAGGAGGAGCATTCTTTATTTTGCGCTCAATCATTTCTTGGGATTTTGAATCGTCATGCTGCCATTGCAAAAAAATAATCACATAATCTCCAGGCAGCATATGAAAATATTAAATCCAAATCAGCAAGAAAGATCAATTTTCAGTGCATAAGAAAATAAAAATTCATCAACATGCAACTTTAGGGAATTCTCACCCTTCTTTTGTATGAGGAGATATTGAAATGAGGCAGATTACCATATGAAAGCATAGAATGCAAACTGCATATAAAATTACAACTTTTAATTGCAGTCAGATCACAGAAACCAATTTCTCATTCCCTATAAGAACCCCAATTACTCTAGGGATAGTCCAAAGGTATTACATTATACATGATTACAACTTTGAGATATGTTAAACCACATTGACTTGAAATTTTATAAGAGACTATCGAAACCTAACTCTTATACAAGCATAATACAACCATTTTTTGTCCAGAACACAATAAATGTCTAGGAAAGCAAAATCCAAGAAAGCATTCGCCATTTAAATCCAAGAAAGTAATATCAATTGTGAAGTTTAGAGACCATACCATCATAAGGAGCTTTGCAACGAGTGCAGTACCAACAACAGTAAGAATCATTGGCATAGTTGCTGTATCAAGAAACGATTTTGATTCAGGAACCTCCACAAACACCTCATGCTTCTTAGGATTCTTCTTTTTCCTCGTCTTCTGCAACTCAGCAACCCTTCTCTTCAATGTTTCCGTGGGACCATCACGAGACAGCGTATGGAACCCCCTGCGACACAGCAGTCGCGTTTCTCTAACCCCGTACATCATGAAATGAAACAAAAATCTTCGAATTGTTAATTGGTAATGCTTTTTGAAGTTCTTACTTAATTTCCTGGCTGCGAAACAAAGGAGCAAGCAAAATTGAGAATTTACGGAATAAAAATTTGAGATTTGATCAACAAAAATGGGTTTTGATGATATAATATCTGTTTGACAAATTTTAACAAACAATTAGTGAACGTTGCGTCTATCCAACAGCAACACTGATTACTTCCCGCTAGTTTAAGTGAAATGGAAGAAATTTTACCTGCTATTTCTTGAATCGTTCATCGACGAGTGGGTTTAAACAGAGAGTTCATTTTTCGGTAGCTGCTAGGGCTGCACATCGGAATGGGTCGGGTTCTGAAACTAAGATGACAGTTAAAAAATAATGATAAAAGATAAAGAATTATCTATATTCTTAACATGGAAAAATTAAATAAGTGAATTATAAAAAAATTAAAAGACACAATTATCAAATATAATTATTTATAATTTTTTTTAAATAAAATAAAAATTCAACTGCATCAAAACCCATGGTTTGAAATCACCAAGAACACGTACTCTCAATGCTTGATCTGCAAATCTTAACAGCTAATTGAGCTTTTTAAAAAAAATAAAAAATAAAAAAAAAACAAAACAAAACAAAAAAAACCTCGCTGAAGCAAGGACAAAGCATTTGGTAATTTAAGAGTGTTTCATAGTTCCACTGTTTCACCATTAGTATGAATGATAATCCATTTAACAATTTTAAGAGTGTGATTTGTTTCACGTTAGGCATGGCCGGTTCAATGAACTGCCGGTTTCGGTTCATTGAACCTCCGATTCGAGATGTTTAAAATTTTGAACCGGAACCGGCCCTTGAACCTCCGGTTCCGACGAACCGACGGTTCAAATTACGATTCCGATTCGGTTCAAAATTACGATTCCGATTCGGTCTGGGGCATACGCAAATTTTAAAAAAATAATAGATTTGATTTCGAATTCATGAATAAATAATAATTTTAAATTTATTAAACTAAAAAATTATTATTAAAATTTTAAAAACAAAAACTTCTATTTAATTTAGAATGTTATCACTATATTTAAATAGAGGAGTGTAGATCACCATACCTTGATGACGATAATTGAATTTGAGTTACACCATTCCTAACCTCACTTGGATTGGCATGTGATTAAATGCCTAATTGAAGCAGTGCCATATCCTCCTCCAAGCGTTGAATGCGCCATTATTCTTTTTTGCTAATAATTCATTCCAAACCCGCATTGATTTCTCCATTATTCTGAACAATTTTTGCAAAAAGTGCTTCTTGAAAATATCTGTTTGGTGGTTTAACCTATTGGAAAATTATAGGAGATATTCTTCTTGTTGGTGAAAAATCAATCAATGGATCATTTGAATCAATTTTATTTCCACGCTTTTGAGCAAACTCACTCCCCTTGGAAACTTTATGTTATGAGAATTGTATGTGCTCATAATTTTTTTTAAATGGGAATTAGGAAAAAAAAATAAATTAAATAAATGGAATATGTGAAATTAATGGAATTTAGAGAATTGGATGTATTTTGAAAATAAGCAATATTTTAGAAGATTAAGAGGAGAGATGAATATTTTAATTTGGTTTGTTGAAAAAAAAATTAATTTCAATCTCATCATATTTATACATTATTTTTCATTTAATGTAGTATCCCAAATTGTCCCCTTATAACACAAATTGTCCCTTATAACAGAAAAAAAACAATTATATTTTTGGATAATTTAGTAAATTATAATAAATAAATAAATAATTAATTAATTAAATTATAATAAATAATTATATCCGTTTGAAGTTTTAACATTGTGTAAATTGTTAATTGTATAGTTAAAAAAAATATGTGTTTGTAAACAAAGTTCAACGGTTAAGTGAAAATGAAATGATGAGCTTTCAAAAAAAAAAAGTGAAATGACGATGCTTCCTTTTTTTTTTTAAACCAAAATGATGATGTTTTTTTTTCACTATTTTTGATTATTGCAATAAATAATTTTGTTTGTGAATCCGGTTCGAACCGGACCGAAAAAACCGTCAGTTCACGGGCCGTATTCAGGTTCATTTTTTAACATTCACATGAACAAAAAAAAAAAAAAAGTGAAATGAGCTTCTTTTTTTTAAACTAAAATGATGATGTTTTTTTTTCACTATTTTTGATTATTGCAATAAATAATTTTGTTTGTGAATCTGGTTTGAACCGGACCGAAACCGTCAGTTCCGGGCCGATTCAGGTTCATTTTTTAACATTCACATGAACCTTAACCGGCCCTTGAACCGCCGGTTCCGGTTCAAAATTTTGAACGGCCGATTTCGGTCCGATTTTGGTTCATCTACAGTACGGTTCGGTTCCGGTTAAAACCGAACCCGTGGCCATGCCTATTTCAGGTTGAACGATAAATTGTTTTAATATTAAAATAAGTACCTAATTAAATAATATGTCCGACAACTTGTTCACAATCATTTTATTTATTGGTAAGAAAAACCACGATTTGTTATTTCACAAAATGCGTTTTTATTTTTTAAATAATTTTGGAAAAAATTAAAAAGTAAATTTAAACACTTTTAATACAAACACGTTGCGTTTCATTTTATTTTTATCAAAATTAAATAGAAAATCAGAACAAACACTAATCTTTAATCAATGATTTCAACAAAGTAAAAACCCTTTACTTGGATTAAATTCCCACAAAGCATATTTGTTTTTATATAAGCATTTTTTTCCGTTTATATTTTACATTTGAAATCACTGAGAATAAATATCCTGAATACTAATCGTAACTATTAAACTGGACTTACTGTTAAAAAGAATGGAAAAAAAGAGTCTCGTTTCAATCAAAATTAAACATGTGTTTCTAAAAAAAATACTAATTAATTTGACAATTTAAAAAAAAAAAGAATTGTTTCGTTTTCAATACAAAAAATTATTTATTTAACAATTTAAAAGTATGAGTTGTTTCACATATTTCACCGTTAGATTGAATTATAATCCATTTGACAATTCAAAACTATTAGTTATTTTGTGAATAAACCAATGACTATTTAACAATTCAATAGAGTATGTTATTTCGATATATGTTAAGCCAAGCACCTAGTCATGTTAAATAAGATGTTAAACAAGGCTTTTACTACAACAAAGAACTTATTATTCTATATAGATAAAGAAATCCTAATCAAGTGACACGTGCCATAATAACCTACTATTGTAGGTTGCTTCAACTTGTTAAATTGTATTCATGTCTAACTTATTCTAGAGGCTTTTACTATCACGCAAAATTAGTAAATTTTATATTAACATCAAAACTTTTTGCTTTATATATACACATATTAGAGCAAGTGGCATGTTTCTTTATTTTTTGCATTCAATTTTTAAGATTATGTATACACAATATTTATAAATGTTAAATTAAAAGATTAAATTTTATGGAGGTAAAAACAAAAATTATAGGAATAATAAAAAATACGTGGAATAATTTTTTTTTGGTGAAACTTTAATTATAATTCACTTAATTACAATCTCAAAATTTGTAAATTAAATAATAAAAGTAATTACTATGGCATAAATAACATAAGATTTCCATTAAAAAAAATTCTAAATAAATATATTAAGAACAAAATCTGGATTCAAATATTATAAGATTTTGAAATTCATATTATATGGACTTTTTAAATAATATGAATTATAGATTAATTTTTTTAAAAAAATCCTGTGAATAAATAATATAATATTTTATTTAATAAAGTTGTAAAAAAATCAAGAAATAAAAAGATTTCACATAAAAAATCAAAAGTTAAAACACAAACTTTATGTAAGCTCATGTAATATTATAAAATAAAAAGATGATGAGATGTCATAATATATATATAGTTTCAATTGTATAAATATATCATAATATTTCAATAATTTTTTTCAAATTTTAAGCAATTTAGTTCCGGTATATAAATTTTTATTTAAATAAATATTTATCTTTGAAACTTTTTTTTTTTTATGGTTTTGACATTGGTTTTTTAGATAAGAAAAAATATTGTTCTATTTTATATAATTAAATAATTACTTTTATATTTAATAACAAAAGATTAACTACAAAATAAAAATAAATATCTTATCTTTTACCTATTATATAAGTAACAAGTTATCCCATTAACTTTAAATTTAATGGTGGATAAAAATTCTATATCAATGCAAAGTTTTACTTGTGTCCTGTAGTTTTATCCGTTAAACAATATTGTTAAGAACCACTTTAGACATTGTTAAAAAAAATATATTTGAATTATCCTTTAATTACTTTACAATGTTTACCATTAATATTCTTAAATCAATAGTTTTAATAAACTTTTTTTAATAGAGGTTCAAACAACAATAGCAAACACCCTTGTAAAAACCCAACCACACTATATTTATAAATGCTACACCAAATTATTATCATTATTATTATTATTTTACATCATAAAAAAAAGGCTTAGCTATAAAAAAAGCCTGAATTTACGAGTTATTTTTCAAATTTGGACAATACTTTTTATTTTGTTGAACTTATTTTTCATTGTTTATCATGGCCTCTGACTAGATTCCATTAATATATAATGATCTGGCGTTAGTGGGCCCAAAATTTTCACCAGGTCACAAGTACATGGACACATCACGTAATACAAAACTTCATGCCTAAACGCTGCGTTTTTTGCAGCTAAATCCTAATTGACCTAATTTACTCTAACTTTAACCCCCAACAAAATCCATTTAGGTTAGGTCATGGAATTCTTAAATAACTATATTAAAAAAGATGGAGAGAAAAATTAATGAGGAAAAAACTAACAATATGATTAATTATTAGATATTTTAAATAAAAACAAAAATTCAATTCATTAAAATCCATTAATTTAGATCAAATTCTTCTACAAAAGCATTTTTATTTTATATTTTCATATTTGAAACAATTCTTTTGCTCTCAATGATATTAAGAAAGTTGTTAAGGGTATGCATCCGAACAAAGCGTCAGGCCTAGATAGTTTAAGCCTAGCTTTCTTTCAATGGTTTTGACATGTGGTTGGAGGAGATATAAATCCAACCTATCTCTTGTGTTTCTAAACCAAAATGGACATATGCCCATGGATAATCAGACTAATATTATCTTAATCCCGAAAAAAGATAATCCTGAATTAGTTTCTAATTTTAAACCAATTTCTTTGTACAATGTCATGGATAAAATTGTCAATAAAGTGATGACTAATAGAATGAAATATTGCTTATTTGATATTATATTTGATTACCAAAATGCTTTTGTGAGAGGTAGATCATGTATTGATAATGTTATAATTGCTTATGAAATCATGCATTTTTTGAAATGTAAGGCACAAGGAAAAGTGGGTATAGTTACCTGGAAAATTGATATGGGTAAAGCCTATGATCCAGTTGAATGACAATTTCTGCAGAGATTGATAATTAAATTAGGCCTTTTTGTTGATTGGGTAAATA